GTGTGTGTGTGTGTGTGTGTGTGTGTGTGTGTGTGTGTGTGTGTGTGTGTAAAGTCTAACGTCTTGAAAACCTGCATCCTGATATTGAGGACAATCATCCTTTTTCAGTGGGATTAGATTTGTAAGTTTAATTTTTTTATCTTATATAAAAATTGTATTCATATTTAATTTACATTTATATTTTTAACACCCTCCAAAATTAAAACGAGCATAGAACAAAAGCTTGGAACTCAAGAGGATAAAACTGGTAGGGCCACTATTTTTCTAGGAGTGAGGGCATTGCCCCTCCTGGCCACCCCCACTCGCAGCGCCCCTGTTGATTGACAGGTTTTATTCTACTGAGGAATGACAGCTTGAGCCGCAGCACTGCACATCTCTCTGTTAGATGCCAGAGACAGATTGTGTGGTTCTAGGAGAGACAAGATTTGTATCTGATTTGTGATCAAAGCGCCACAGAGATGATTTTTTCCCCATCACCCTGTCCACACGCGACCGCGCGAGCAGATCAGTTGACTGCAATGCGGTAAAGAGCATGCAAGCCGGGGAAATCCTCGGCAGGCTAGTCCACCCCTGAAGAAAGTAGAGTGCAAGTTTTAACTGCCGGTCGTTTACAATAGCAGCTGGTGAGGATAAATATTGGTGAGGCGGACGGAGGTTTTGCTTGACTTTTTTTGCTGTCCGTCATTTTGGCTGACAGGGTAAAAAAATCTGTCATGATAAATTTTTACCCGTCACTTTCTTTTTTAAATGACTAAACATTCAATAGGTTTTACAGCTTCATGATGTGGCGCCTGCAGGATTTTATCGGAGAAAAACTCATCGGCGCATCTCACACTAATGAGCGCAATGCGCACGGTGCTGAAAAAAGAGCACATCTGTCCCACACCAGGCTCAACGTGCACAGTGTGACGCACACACACTGTCTCGCTTTTGACTCACGAAAAGTAAAAGTAGTTGGGAAAACACATCAAAACAATAAATTACAAACTGAGCTTATCAGGAGGAACTATTTTGTGAGGCAAATTAATTTTGCCACTATGAATCGGCCGCGGCTGGTGGTTCATGAAAGCCTCGAGCTCCGAGGGAAGAGGAGCTGACAGGGACAGTTCAGAAACAATTTGGGATGAGAAAAAAACTATTTATAAACAGAATAATTGTATTTTATACTGCCTACTGCTAACAGGTCTATTCTGACAGAAAGTGCAGCTGTGATCTGGTTCTGAATGACAGCTTTATAGTTGACAGCTGCTCCCCACACTTCCTGGTACTGCGTACCGGCGCAGAATCTTTTAGTGGTGCGCAGTACCGGACCGTACCGGCTTACTTTCACCCCTGGGTATGATTGAATGGAATTATATGAATGCTGAGGTGGAACTTAAGAGAACTGAACAGGAACAAATTTCTGCAAGCCTCAATAAATGGAAGCACAATGTGGATCAAAACTGATAAAGTAAGGTAAAAAATACAACTTTCAGTTCTGCAAGTTTCTGGATCATGGAATGCAAATGCAGCTTTCTAATTTAGGTTTTGTTTTTGTTTTAGAAACAATGAAATTGTGAAACTTGTTCTGTACATTAGATTTGAATAATTGTAGAACCTTGTAAAAATCAGATCAGTTTTATGTCCTGACATGTAATATACCAGAATTTTAAAAAGTATAACATTTTCTTTTTAAATCTGCATGTTATATTTTCAATATAACACTGTCTTTTATGCATTTTGCAATATTGTGTTGTATTGTGCAAGATATTACCAAGCCAGAATTCATCATTCATGTCTCCAAAACCAGCTGTGTAATTTTTCCAGTTGCGGAAGAACTCCAGGTGGCCACTTTGACGTCTGAGGAAAACCTGCAAGAAATAATAACAAATGGTAAATGGACTGTACTTGCATAGCGCCTTTCTATCCAATCAGGACACTCAAAGCTCTTAACACTACAATCTGTGCCCTCATTTACCCATTCACATAGCACTCTATTAGATCTCTACAAAGCTAACAAATATAATCATGTATGGAGACTAATCAATGCCAATCACATTCATACACTGAAGGGACACACATCAGAGGCATTGGGGTATCTTGCTCAAGGACACAACAACTGAGACAGCTGGACGGGGGATCGAACCAGCGACCTTCCAGTTCCAGGACAACTCCCCTAACTACTCTCCCACAGCCTCCCCACAACAAAATAAATACAATTTTTAAAAAAGCAGTTCCCTGGGGATCAGCAAAATAAAAACTCATCAGATGTTTCACTGTCCTTTTATATTATTTTTTTTAACCTTAAAAATCTTTATTCTCAAAGCATTTGTTTCTTTTCCATGCTGGAATGACCTAGCTTTTGTTTTTTTGTATGACATTTGTTAATTACCTTCTGTATGACACACCCCTATTCAAGATGGCTGATGCAGCTAACTGACCTTAGGAAACACATCAGTGGATATTAACACAGCTAATTGTACCATTTTTGAGTTAAAATTTGGAATATTTCCTAAAATCCACAACTCAAATTGCCATGGAAAGTTTCTGGAAATTACTGGAAATTTTAGACCTCGTTTTAACTCGAATAGGTGATTTCATCAGTTCAACCATGGAAATGAGAACAAATTTTGTCTTTGAAACAAAATGGTCGTAACAAAGGTCCAGGACAGACCTAACAGATTCGATTGGAAGTTGTCATGCTTAACAGTTGAATGCAAACCTTTAAAAGTTTATGCAAGTGAATGTCAATTATCTCCTCCATATACAGACACACACTCAAAAGACTGTATTCAAAACATTGAGATATCTGAACTGTAATATCATTTTGACTTTAACACATTTCAGAGCTACTTGAGTCACATTGAGTTATTCAGAGCATAACTCAATAAACCTAATTACCCTAACAGACACAATTTATGGAGGAGAAAAGGAGCATAAAATTAGTTCACAGAGCTCATTTTCAGAGCAGAGATTTTAACACATTAAAATTCACCCAAATAAAAAGGTGATCTGCAACAGAGGCGATTGCTCTAAAACTGCAAGGGAAGCTCAGCTTCCCCTAAAATGTAAAAAAAAAAA